CATGTAATTCATTTCTGTGCAATCCAAATATGGATTAGAAAATTATTAAATAAAAATTTAATCATGTTACCATAAAATAAAATTATAGCGCATGCAGTAAGATGATGATATAAAAGTGACAAATTTCCTACCAGGAGTATTCAGAAATTTCAACTATTACTTTATCGATTTAACCACTTTATTTTCCTTCAATTTCATATAGCTTTTTTCTTCCTGTTTTGCCATGGAAAAAATGATTCTTTTCACAAAAATAATTTCATTGTAATCTTTGTAGCAATAAAAAATGTCACACTTTTAAATAAATTTTAATTATTTGTATCGTAATTATTTGTAAAATATTTCACCATTAAATGTATTCATTTTTTTAAAAGTACTACTCACTTACACATATATGAATTACAATAAGAAATAAAATTACAAATTAAAATACAAACACATAGGTTATTTATCATAGTAATGATTATCCGTTAAGGTATGCATAAAAACACATAAAACTGCGAGAAAATTAGAATGAAGTTTTAAAACAAATTAAGAAATAAATAAATGAAAAGACTTTTATTTTCATCTAAACAAATTACTGAAATTGAATCCAAAAAGAGAAATTGATAAATATTCATGCGAAGAAATAAAACATTGATAAGAATGTGTGTATGGTTATAGACATAATGAAACTAACTCATATTTTTACATTTCTGAATTAACTATTCTTAATAATACATATTTTTTTTTTAAAATATATGTGTATTTCTTATTTTTGAATAATTAGAAATCTAAAAAGAGAATATAGTTTACTTGATGTAAAAAGCTTTTTTGAGATGATATTTAAAAAGAAAGAAAATTGGATGCCTATGAATACAAAATAACTTTTTAGATGCAATAAAAAAGATTAAAATCTTTGATTAAACTAAACAAAGAAATGTAAGTGAAAACAATATTAATTAATCAACTCAGAATTATTTATTATCTTATTAATTTCAGCGGAAATATATTTCAATAGGTAACAACCACCATGATTTAATGAGTAATGTAAAATATGCATAAAAACACAAATGCATACAAATTTTTAAGAGAGGGAAATAATGGATTTTTGAAAAGTTCATATATATCAATGCTATCAATTTTAAATTATATACTGGTTATTTTTTACTCTTACAATGTGTTATGACATTACACTACAGGATATAAAATAATCGATAACTATGACATAAATAAAAAAAAAATATTTTTTTGTAAAATGCAAAATTGAAACAAGTTTTCCTAATGTATTTTTTAGAGGCTGATGAAACTAAAAATATATTCAGCAGTGTTTTATTTATAAATTAATATGCGATCTTTAAAAATTGATAATATTGTTAATGATCTAATCCTAGCACGAAAAATTATAATCACCTGGTTGATTGATTTCAAAATTGTGAATTGTGTCAAGTAACGCAGACCATCTGGCACCCCCACTCTCCAAATTTTCATACCACTCCATTATGAGGACTTCAAACGATGGCTTTGAACTGGAAAAAAAATCCGTTTATTTCGGTTCGATATATCACCAGTCATTTTGTTACTGCAACCAACTTATCAATATTTTCATATTTAACGTAACGCATATAACTATCACTATTAAATATCAATTATTTATTTGAATTCTAGTTTATGATAGGATTGCATTTTTAGTACAAATATGAATATACATAAAATAAAAAATTGTTCATTCGGAATTTTACCCAAACCGTTGCTTATGGCGGAACGAAAACCGGAACTGAGCCAATATATATATTTTTAGTTGAAACGGAACGAAAAAAAATACGTTTCGAAGCCGTGCTTTAAACCTTGAATGATCAGCCTCCAGTAACATAAAGACTGGAACTTACAGGACTCTACAGGAACAATGTCATCCCTGAGTTTTCAACCACTGAACTCAGACATGAGATTGTTGTCAGAACGATCAAAGTATTCTCAAACGGATCTATTAAACACTTTTTCATTGGATGTAATATATTGTTAGTGAAAGTGCATACTTTCTTTCGTACTCTTCCGAAAGTCTATAATGGAAGAAAAAATGTTTGAGGGAATAAAGAATATTCTTTGCATAATGCTTTTGATTGATTGATTGGATATTAACGTCGCACTGTTCAGCTACACGAGGGCTTTTGGTGACGGACCACGTAATTTTGAACCATGGTTAAGTGACGTGGACGACACCTGAGCTGGTAAACCCTCTCCTAATTACCACGTCACACCAATGGGAGCTCTCGACAGATTTAACGTGCATCGTCATCGTCCCCCTAGACGGCGGGTTCTTAGTGTTACTGGGCTCGAACTCGTGACAAGGCTAGCCACGGTCCAATACCAATATCATTAGGCTACCGCGGTCACTTGAATAATGCTTTACAGGTAACTTTGTATGACAGGTGGCTTAAATATGTTGAACCACTTTACAGTATGGTTATGTAGTACTCATTCCAAATTATTTTAATCGTCTAAAAGCTCTTTTTACTTGCATGTACAATTAAGAAATCAAACATTATTTCTATTATCAGTGAATTGAATTAATTATCAATTAATTTAAATTAAGAGTTACAAAAATTAATTTAACCCATTCACTGCCAACTATTAGATATCTTATAGTAAGCGTGTGTACTAAAATTGCTGGCTGCAAGATATCTCGTAGTTTATGTAGAAATTTTATATTTACATAACTCTATTTGAGATGAGAATTACTAAAAAGGATGAATGAAAATTTTATACAGTGCACAGAAATGTATTAATTATCAATTCTTATTATAAAAATTATTACTGATACGATAACGTTATAACATGATAATTAGATAAATAAGAATGCATTCCAAAAATTAAAAAAAAATATTTGTGTTGTTTTTGTTGTGGAGGAGGAGCTTTAAAGTACGGATCAATGCAAGGAGCTGGGCTGTTGGGACAAATTGGGCAAAAATAACTAGTCTAATTACGTTTTTTTTTGTTGCTTAATACAAATTCTACATGGCTTTGTAGGCATCCATTTTTATGTGAAAGGAAGATGCCAAGTTGTACTTGTATTATAGTTGCTGTTTTGTCCTCATTGCTGCAGTCACCATCAAATAAATACATAATGACTGATTCCCGAAATTGACACATCCACATCTTTTTACTATCTCCATTTCTTTGACTATAATACTTGTTTGCATTCTGCAAAAAAGATTTCGAGCCAACCTAATTCGTACTGTCACCTGTATGTTGCTTAAGGCCATGATTAACGACAGGCGTACTTCTAGCCCCTTGCCACGATGAACTTCATAGGCCTCTATCTGACTACGTCAGACAGGTGGCATTAGAAGCAACAACAACAGTAGATTTCGAAGTTGGATAGAGCAATTTCTTGTGTCAATTGATGGTTTTCCTATGGTCTACTAATTATTACTTATCGGTTCATAATTATTATTTTACAACTCTTTATAACTACCATCGCCTCTGAGGTTTTTCCCAACCAGGATCATTACACGTCTGCATGAAAATCTGACATATCATTCCACATCTTACTGTTGCCAGAAGAAATTAGGTGACAAGTTTGTAAAATCAAACAACACGAAAAGAAAATATTTGTGCATTATGATTTTTATTGAAAAACCAACTACGCGATAACTCATAAATGATACTCAGCACAAGAATCTTATTCAGTGATGCAAGGCTACGAATTATCGCGTAGTAATGTTTTTAAAAATAAAAATTACTGTAAATGGCATTACAATATTATATTAATAACTTAATATTATTATATTTTGCAAAATTTCATGTTTTCTTTAAAATACTATCTTGGCACTCAGGGAAAGATGATCTAAATTTACCTGTCCGCCTAAGGGTGATCTAAATTTACCTGTCCGCCTAAGGGTTAAGAATTCAAAAATTAAGAATATTTCGTGTGCAAGCATTTTAATTAAATCGTTACAAAATGACTAATTTCATCAATGGCTTGGCAATGCTTGGCTTCACACGGCAAGGGTGTCACAGGACTGTCTCCGCACTGCTACTACCCTTCCTTGGCCTGCCTGATCCCCAGATTTGTCTCTAATCAAGAATATCTGGGATCATTTGGGGCGGTGAGTTAATCATCCCACGAGTTTGAACAAACTAGAGGCAAGGTTACAGCAAATATGGAACGAAATGTCTGAAGACATCATACAGAACTTGTATGCCTTAATGCCCGATCATATCGCATCGTCCAGTCGTGCTAGAGGAAGTTCAACAGGGTATTCATTTCCCCGTTCTTTTGCCTTTTGCTCTGAAATAAATTATCCTTTTTTCTTTGATTTTCTAATCATTTACTTAAATCAAAGTATGCATTACGTATGTAAAATTTCGTTTAATTTGGACGAATCCTTCTTGATGAGCTAATTCTTTTGTCCATGAGTGAAATTACACAACAATATTTTTTGAGGAAACACTCATGCTTATTTTCATTTTAAACAATTTATCGATAACTCGGCATTTTCACAAACTCGATTTCCCTTCGGACCACATTACGTCGAGTTTTCGGGATTACATAGTATAGTGAAGTCCAGAAATGTATTAATCACCAGAACGACCATGGCAGCTACTTCGAGCGAAACGAATTTTTTTTGTAGACTTTCTAACTCCTGTTTATATAATTAAAGTAAAATATATTCATACTTTTAAAACTGAAAAACGGTTTTTGAAATTCAGGGAACATTCTATGTAAAACAAACCTTACGCGTGTTTTTAAAACAATCAAGTTCAGCCGATTCGCAGCCGGTAGGTTTAAAACTTACGTGGGTAGACCCCAATGCATTTCGTGTCCATCGCCTTAACCACTTGACCACAGATCCTTCAGGCGAAAGGTACTTTTCGTATGCAGATTTTGTAACTCCGATTTATAATTACAGTAAAATATCTTAATATTTTTAAAACCGAATAAAGGCTTTTGAATTTCTGGGAACTTTCTATGCAAAAGAAACCTTACTCGTGTTTTTAAAACAATCTAAATCTAGACAACTCGCAGTCGGTAGGATTCGAACCTACGCGGGGAGACCCCAATGGTTTTCATGTCCATCGCCTTAAACTCTCGGCCACAGCTGCTTCGAGCGAAAAGAAATTTTTTTTGTAGATTTTCTAACTCCTGATTATATATAATTAATATAAAATATATTCATACTTTTAAAATTGAATAATGTTTTTGTCCATGAGTGTATTTTCATTTTTTAAATACATCACCAAACTCATTAAAATGACTTACACATTAATTAAAGCAGTTTTTATGTATATTTACTGAATTCATAATAACGGAGTCTACTGATTTACGTAGACATGCATATTTTTTTTCCAATGAGTTAAGTATTAAATCTTCAATAATATAAATCAATCTTTCTTACTTTTTGCAATAATTTACTAATTACTTTTAAGTCATAATTATTTATAAGCGCATTGCAAAATTTCTAATGTCTTACAACAATTTATCATTGTGTTTATGTTAATTTTATATCATCTCTGAAAATGCAAGAAATAACGGCTTACTTGGCTAGCTTTTTTGGATTAAAAAAAAGGAGGAAATGTTATTTTTTTCAGGGGAAAAATAACATTTAAAATCTAACATTATAACACTATACATTTTGTTCCAAAACAACTCTTTAGACAGGACGTATTGCTTCATCTACAAAACAAAAGTAATCCGTAATTCCTTTCTTTTTATTTACAATTAAAGTTTTTCTTTTGGCTTATAATTAGTAAATAAAGGGAATAAAATTTTATTTTTGCAAACTTCTGTCAACATTTTTAAAGACAGACAATTCTACTTATACACATAAAAACATAATATTCAAATTTCTTAAATAAGAAAATAAATAACTAGCTTAAAATTATTTATTCTGAAGTACATAAAAATGAGATTAGATGATTTGCTAATAGCTAGAACATATTTCACCGGCGCTGGCAATAAAATCGCCAAAAATGATACAATCGACACCAAACGCCGACCAAAATGATACCAATGGCTCTGGTAACTTTTTACCTGCACAATTTCAAAACAAGACGTGGTAGTTTCTTATCAGTAAAGTATTTTTCATAACATATCAAAAATGGATGAAAACTAATGAGAATTAATATTTATTATTAATAATAAATTGTATGTGTATATTTTGTGTTGTCGCAAATAAAGCAAACGTGGCGAATTCGTGCCGATGAAACAGAAAAGAACCAAGAATAGACTTAATAACTAGGCGCATATACTTAACTAATTATTTTCAACTATTAACAATGTTATGCAACTCATCTGAAAAAAATATAAAAAAAACTCTTCATGATAAAAGTTAAAATCATTCTTTCTCAAGATATTTTTCTCTCAATTTTAATAGTCTCCCTTCAATGCTCTATTATTAACATATTGTTCCAAACAGCAAATTCATTTTAAATGAAAATTAGCACATTTCCTCAAAGCTTTGAGTACTCTCGCCGCCAGTGTCCAATGCCCTCCTTTCAGTATGACCCATCATTCCAAAAGTTATTAGTTTAAACTTTCACTGTTCCAATTCCCTTTTCAAGAATTTTCCATTAAGCCTATAAATAGCTGACGTCACTGGCAAAACGGATTACCACTGAACAAATTCGAGATGACGACGTTGGAACATTAAACTTTGAACTCGGGACTTATTTCAGTGATCTGACACTCCTGTCGGAATTCTTTGCTGTTATCACAAAGTTTACTGGGATTTGACTGAAGTTCCCAGACGAGTTGAAATTTGAACTGAATTATCGAAACATATGTCCCATCTGTCCAAATAGATACAGCGTATTATTTTACTTAAGGCTGCAGTTGAAATAAAACAGAATCATATTAAGGTGGCCATTTCTTTTACAATGAAAAGGAGAATGAAAAATTTAAGAAAAAATTACAACTTAAATATATGAAACGTTTTATTCGCTTAAACAAAAATACGCTAACTATGCTCTTACATTCTTTTTAATTATTCCCTTAAACAAATATTTTTCCCATTGAAATATTTTTTTTTGTTAACAAATATTTTTTTTTTAATATATCAGAAAGTTTGGACAAAAAATATCCTTCAAATTGAATTTTGCGGTAAGCACTATAGCTAAAATATTAACATTCAATTTTGATTTATCACGAGTCACTTCACAAAAATCACTACCAACTGAAAACTCTTTCATCTGCTGCATAGTTCAAGGGAAGCACAACGTAAGTTCAGAAATAATAACTAAATTTTTACTTGGGATGTGTTCATTTTTGAATTGGTTAAGTATTTCCACCCATCTTTTATTAATTTCAGCACATGCTGATGTTCCAATTATTTCATTTTATTATAATTTAAATGTACATTCAGTCTTCGAATTTCATCAAACAAACCCTTGTCGACGATTTTAATTTCAGGCATTTATTTTGATAAAAAAAAATCAACACAGTTTTCTACATCTGCCCAATTTACTTGTGATGAAGTCAAAAAACACCATTGAAAACTGTTATTTCCTGTGATATTTGTTTTAGACCATTCTTTGGCATTTAGGAAGCATGTTTGGTTGATCTCTAAAAATGGAGATCAACAGATCAATTTTAAAATATTGAAAAAGAGGAGAAAAGGGAGGACACTTTTCGAGGAAGAACAGAACCTAAAAAGGAGGACTGTCCTTCCTAAAGGAGGACGTTTGGTCACCTTAAAAATAAAGAACAATAAGAATTTAAAAAAAAAGGTTGCATGTATAGAAACAAAATGTGAGTGTAAACAAAAAAAATGGAAAATAGGATTTAGCAGCTATTTAAATAATGAAACTCAACGTTTTTACACGATTTTGAAATAACACGGTACACAAATCAAACGATTTTTTTTACACAAACGTTTTGCACCTTCATGAACCCCCAAAATATTTTGGGATTCGTCCTTTTTCGATTAGATCGATTTGATCGAAATTGTACTAGTTTATTATAATAAAGGATTCCATATAACGATGAAGGGAAGTTCAGCTGTTATTAGATGATTTAAATTTGTTACAAGTATGGAACATTTTCTTACTCATGACTCTGACATGGAGTGTGCATTAAAATTTCAACGTAGTTTTAAGTTTTGTGTAGCAGGATATCAAATATATATATTAAGCAATTTAAGTAACCAAAAGAACTGCTGCTAATATATAGCAGACTTTGCAATAACAACAAAAAAATCTAACAAATATTTTTAATAATAAGGTGACCAGTTTTCTTACAATGAAAAGGAGGACGGGCACGCGCGAAAAATTTAAGAAAAAATTACGATGTAAATATATGAAACATTTTATCAATTCAAATACAAATACGCAGATTACACTTTCATTCCTTTTAACTATTTTTTAACAAGCATTTTCCCATTGAATATTTTTGTCAATATATCATTTTGTAATACATCGGAAATTTCAGAGAAAAAAATTTTCATCATACTAAATGTTAAGGTAAGTACTGTGTGCAGCTAAAATATTAACATTTAATCTTGATTTATCACTTGGCCAAAAATCATTACCAACTGAAAAAAACTCTTTCAACTTCTGCATTAGTTCCAGCACAGCACGACGTATAAATTTAACAAGAATAACTAAATTATCACATAGATAGTGCTCATTTTTGAAATAATTAAGTACTTCTACCCATCCCGTATCACTTTAAGCATACTGATTATCTAGTTGTTCCAATTTATTAGAATTTAAATATGCATTCCAGTTTTCTCATTTCTTCAAACAATTATCATTGATTTTAAGAGCAGGCATTTCTTTCGATAAAATGTCTGTTTCTCTAAACAATTTTCTATATCTGCCCATTTAACTTGGGATGAAGTCGAAAAACACTATTTAAAACTATTATTTCCTGTGATACTTGCTTCAGACCATTCTGCGACATATTAGAAACATGTTTGGTTCTCATCTCTGAATAGAGATTAACAGATCAGTTTTAAAATATTGAAAAGGAGGACAAGTAAGAGGAGACTTTTCGAGGAAGGACAGATTATATAAAAGGAGGACTGTCCTCCCTAAAATAGAACGGTTAGTCACCTTATTAATAACGAACAAAATTCTTCATTTGAATCAAAGCTGAAAGTTGTGCTAAAAAATCTGACACGTCTACTCATGATAATGTTTTTTATCCAATTTGTATTAAAAGTGTATGCTTGGTATCAAGTAGCGATAAATAGTGGTTAGTCAGTAAATTTATCTCTAATTTCAGATTGAGTTTTTATTTGTTGTATGAATTATATATATAATTTTCACTTAACACTAATTTTAATTTTTTGTTGCTATAAAATGAATAGTTTTTGTCTTATACATATGGAACATGGATTTTATCATTACTCTTTTACTCGGATTTTTGTAAAATATTTCAGAGTTTTTTTAAAGCTATAAAACATATCCCCTAATTTATCATATATCGCATGTATTTCTTACAAGGTTTTCTAAGGAATGTATCTACGATGTAAAATAATCGTTCGGTTTACTTTATGAGCTATCAGATTTGAAATTGAACTCATTAATTCTTAAGCAGCCGAAACTGAAATAAATTTCCATATTTGTTTCAAAATGTAATTGAATGTTAGATTTATCTTGTTGAAACAGATCGCGCTTGAAATAACCTTTCTAATCATAAAATTACATGGAATAATGATTATTCTTCAAACTAATTTTATGTGTTTAAAACAGTGTAATATCTTAAACAGTGGGATTAAATATTAGAAAATATATAATTATTTTAATTGAGGGATCAATTTAACTAGTATTTACCCTCTCTCAGTATGATTAAAAAAATCACGTATAAATAACACCTTTTAAAAAAATGGCTCTTCGTGATTTGATATTAACTGGTTATATTTTGCTGTTGACTGATTTGATTGATGATTATTTTATTAACGTCACACTAATGTCATACGAGTATTATATGCGATGGACTTCATAGTTTTAACTCTCGATCAAGTGATGAGGAAGACACCTTACTTTATTAACTTCAACACCACGCCAACCAGAGGACTTTGAATACATCAAGGACACTGTAGAGTAGTGGTCAAGGTAATGGACTTGTGGTCGGCGTGTCATGAGTTCTAGCTTAGTACCGC